AGAAAAAAAAAAAAAAATAAAAAAAAAAAAAAAATATCCCACAAAACAATTGTTGATTTGATGTTATGTTTGATGTTTCATTGATGGATTCCTAATATGGACATTACTCCATCAGGATTAAGAAAGGACATTGGATAATATGCTAAAAATGAGTTAATTCAATTTATTCATGCAATAAAAAGATAACATATAATCATATTATATCAATATATGTTTGTTCTGATGCCTATTAACACCTGGGAGCCCCAATTAAATACAGTGTCCTACTACCACTTATTCAACATTATAGAGGGCTTGGGAGCCTCTCTGTGGCCCCTACGTATTCCCCAACACCTGCACATAAGTAATGCATTATAGCGACAACGTGGGTTTACCCATCTTGGGGAATTTTTAACCTCCTTTGGAATATGTATCGATTCAAAAAGTTGAGATGAAAAAATCCCATCAAAACTCGTCACCCCAAGCACGTCAACATTATATTGATGATTTTACTGAATTGTATATCAGTTGTGATGTATTTGACTTGATTCAACTGATAATTACAGTGATTTGTAATGTACATGTGGATATGCTGAAACCAAATATACAAAGGAGCAAAGCTCCGTTCTCAAAAAACCTTTTGATCTGACCAGCACGTCCGAGCCCCCACGCACAATAGAGGGCACACACTCGACCCTAGCAAATCACGAAGGGGTTTAACAACTCAAATGTTAAAGTGTCACGTTGCCTTGTCCGATAAGAAAACCTATACAAATATAGTATATATTATATATATTTTTGTTAAAAAAATTTCCACTCACCTTTGACCCTCCGCGGAGCCGGTTTATTCCCTCTCTAAGCTCGGGTCCTCTACCAGAGGCCATGAGCTTGAGGTTTCTGCTCAGTATCTTTGCTGTTACCTAAAGACTGCACATATCTGGACCGAGAAGTCCGAAGGTTGTTCCGGGATCCTGCCGCAACCACTATTCTAGCTCGGGGTCACTGCCCCGAGTGCACCGATCACCACTGGCACTACTGTCACCTTGTCACCAGCTGCTGAGAGATGGGCACTACACCCAGCAAATGGCTAACCTAAGTGCGAACAGGTCCTGAACATGAGGACCCTGTCAAGAGGTGTCAGTCCCCTCCAACTACCGCCAATAACCTGTCTCATCCACACCATGGAAGCTCATGTCCGCATATCTGCGGCTAAGATAAGTGGGCATATGGAACAATTCATGAGCCAAAACCCAACAACAAGCACCGCCGGGCTTTTGTAGGGACACCCAGAGGACCCAACATCCAGCTCCTGGATGACAGAACAGTCCCCCAAGACTGCCGGGGTCACGACACACCAACCGTGTGGCCAACAGCCTGGATTGATTACCAAAAGCCTACGACTCAACTCCACACACAGTAGGATCATGGAATGCTTGAAGTTGTACAATATCACCAGGGCTCTAAGGGACTTCGTTTGGCAAACTTGACTGGGAATGTGGAAGACCAACCTTGAGGCAAATTGCAATCCGCTCAGTTCGCACAAGTGACCATCAACATGAGGAATCTACAAAGGAGATGCTCTGTCCCCACTACCGGAGGCAGGCAACGGAGGAAGGCGACGGGAAGCACGTGGACGGGGCAGGTGGACAGAGGCAGGTGACGGAGGCAAGCGACAGAGGAAGGCGATGGAGGCAGGTGGACGGAGGCAGGCAACGGAGGAAGGCGACGGAAGCACGTGGATGGGGCAGGTGGGCGGAGGCAGGCGACAGAGGCAGGCGACGGAGGTAGGCGACGGAGGCAGGCAACGGAGGAAGGCGACGGAGGCAGGCAACGGAGGAAGGCGACGGAAGCACGTGGACGGGGCAGGTGGGCGGAGGCAAGAGACGGAGGCAGGTGGACGGAGGAAGGCGACGGAGGTAGGCGACGGAGGAAGGCGATGGAAGCACGTGGACGGAGGGATCGATTGCACATACTGGTTGCCTCGCTTCTGTCAATGAGCCTCAGGGCAGCTGTGACTACAGTAGTAGCTAATCACCACTGTGTGTGAAGTGGAGTATATATAAAACCAATGCATTGTCATTTCTTTATTGACTCTTATTTAACCTGGACAGTTCGTATACCTGTGAAGCCAGAGTAAAACCAGAGGCAAGGTGAGGCGCGTTTATTTGTAAAGCACAATTCATACACAAGGCTACAGTACTCAAAGTGCTGAACAGAAAAAGATAAAAAGCAATCACACGAGACAATAAATTCACAGCACATTAAAAAGAGTAACGAAAAAATCCCTCAGTTGTATGCACAGATAAACAGAACTGTTTTCAACCTGGATTTGAACATTGTCCGAGAAGAAGCTCGTCTCACATTTTCAGATGTGCATGCAAATGAGAGCATGAAGAACTGTATGAACGGCATGGCGGGTGAAGTTTATATATCATTGTATTACGTATATTTCTCTTTGATGTTTCTTGCCACATCGTTGCCTTCCTTAATTCATTCATTCTTTGCTGACGACTGACATTATCCCTGCCTCAGTGACCTTTGTTACTTTGTCAAGCTCCATTATACCTGCACATTAACTTCAATCACATAAAGCCATATAATTAAACAGTGGGGACGTCTGCCTCTGTTTGTTTATCTGTCATTAGCAGCAGGTGAATCATAATGAAACAAGCTTTAAGGCGTTCGCTCGCTTTTAAACACTTTAAATTCCGCAGCTCCTCTCACTCCGGTGGCTCATTGCTCGTGAGACCGCAGGCCTTACATCACGCGGAGGGCAACGGGGCCTAATTCACTGTCAGCAGCTGTTAATGACCAGTCGGTAAAATGAAAACAAATAGGGTTCACCATTATGTAAGTGCCATACGGGGGCTCGCCCACATGCACCACGCAGGCAGCCGTGCACCAGGGCAGTAGCAGTTCTACATAATAGCCTCATAACGTATGCAGTTGGTCCTGTGTGACCGACCAACACTTACACAGAGTAATACAGATTAGACTTCAGCACTGACTAAAGATGTAAAAAAGTCTTCCAACACTGCGTGAGTTGCAATAATTGGATGGTGCACTGCTGAGGATGAAGCTACCACGACGTCATTGGATGTGACTGCAAAACACACTTTCAGATTGAAATGTTTACCTTTTGGGAGGTTCAAGACATTCTTACAGGCTATGTCTATGTAGCATCACAAACATTTTGAACAGTAAAACACATTAAAAAAAGAGCAAGAAAAACTACACAGGTTCAAATGATGATATTTCAAGACTGGAAACACAATAATAGATGTATTATTTGGAATAGACTAAGAAGAAGAAGATCCTTTATTCGTCCCACAGTGGGGAAATTAAAGTTTTTGATGAATACACATGTACATATACACATCACTGCATGCAGCGAACATTACTTCCGCGCTCCTTATGGGCAATAGTGGGTTAAGTGTCATGCCCAAGAACACAACGACAGCAGAGAGTGGAGTCGGTGGAGAAGGTCTCGTGATGCGCTCGAATCCACAACCTTTAGGCTCAAAGCCCAATGCTCTACCAACTGAGCCACTGTCGCCCCCAAATAATGCACAAACATAATTAACTGAATTAACTTGGCTGATTAGTCTTTATATTCATCCATAAGCTGTTTGGATCACAAAGGCCAGTGGACATGGGCCTGTGACTTCCCCACTGTGGGACTCATTGTCACGTGCTGAGAAGGATGAGGACTCAAAACGCAGGAATGCCAAAAAATAATTATTTAATGATAACAAAATAAAAGTCCAGGTTAAAACTCAAAAATTCCAAAAGGCACAAGCAGCAACGAAACAGGAACAGACATGACAAGAGAGGACGGAGATTGACAATACAATGGACTAGCAACAAGGGGAGAGAAGCACGGGGTACATATAGACACACAGAGACACAGGTGAAACACATCAGGGCGGGGCAGACAATCAAGACTGGGGAACAAGACAGGAAGCAAAACTAAAACCAAACCACAAGACCAATTTCAAAATAAAATAAAATTACACAAATAAAATCCACACCATGACACTCATAAAGGCATTCATTCACTAAACTCAAACTCCTCTTCATGCAGACTAGTTGCAGCAAAACTGGAAGTTTGATTATTTTTTTGACAAGATTTCATTCATGATTATGTGTTCTACCATGTGTTTGTGAGTTTCTACTGCACGATATTATTAAAGCATTTTATTGTGTGGCATTAGTGATGGAGATTGGAATTGAATAAGCATTTCCTTCATCCAACCCATTCTACACAACAATGTACTTGTGTCTGTTTTATTGATACATTTGAAGATATGTGTTGGGCAGGTTCAAAATGAATAATATAAAAGCTCTATTTGTCACGACTTTCAGTGAGAAGAGTGAATTGTGGTTACTGTATTCAGGTTTCCTATGAACAGTAATGTATTTGTTAGTCACTACCCACCAATACTGATTCTAGGTGGGTAGTAAACAATGATGACCCAATACAAAACCCAACTTGATTTGCTTTCACGCTTTAGTTCACGCTGTTTTAATATTCTCATTTTACAGTTTCAGTGCATTGATCAATCCTGTAGTCGCTCCTGTCAGTGCTCATTCTGCCCACAGTTTACAGAACAAGTTGTAAATATTTGCTATAAATGTGTGTAAGCAGCAGCGGGCAGAGGTGTGGACTCGAGTCATGTGACTTGGACTCGAGTCAGACTCGAGTCATGATTTTGATGACTTTAGACTCGACTTGACCAAATGTAAAAAGACTTGCAACTCGACTTGGACTTTAACATCAATGACTCTGACTTTCACTTGGACTTGCGCCAATTGACTTGCAAAGACTTGCGTAACCCGGGCCATTTTTACCTTTCTCCGCATCTCTCTTTCTATGCCGTCTCTGAAGAAACAAAGCCTCGCGGTAGTTGTAGCGCTCGCGCGAGAGTTCGAACGTGAGTTCCCCGCAGTTCGCGCAGCAACACTTCCCTAAACAAGCGGACTGCATTCACCGGTGGGTGTGTTGTCTAGGGGAGCTGGAAATGAGCGAGCTGCAGGTATTTATCGCGACCTAACGTCATATTTTGTTCTACAAACCGTAATTGATATGCTTTCACTACAGGCGCCTCATACAATTGAATCGACGCAGTTGTCACACTGTGTGCCGTGTTTTAAAGAGGAACTGGTGAGTCAAACTAGCGCTAGCCTGCGCTGCTCTGTTGGCTATTTCTTATATTTTTCTGTGTGGGCGCCGAGGCCTATTATTATGAGTATGTTTTTGCTGTGCTCCTCCTGCTAAAGTTTGCATACATTAGATAGTTGTTTTGATTATGTGCACTAAGCTAGATTAATATTTGCACTATTGTTTATGGTGCATTGATATGAGAATCAGTGCTTTGACTGATTGAATTAATTTATATGAGACATTTTATTTGTAATGATATATTGGTAATTATGAGATATTACTAATGCTGGTCCAGTTCATACAGGCCGGGGTCCTTCCCCTCCATTGGTCCCTTCAGTCCTTTGGAACAATAACCACTACGGACATTAAACTGATTATATAGATACAGGTCCTAGCCCAATACTCATATTCATATATGCTGCACTGCTGCACTTGCTACTTCCCATTAAAAACCCCAAAGATAAAAAGTATGTTGACATGGACTGCTCTGATTTTATGTGTGGTCTGTGCATGTGTAACTGAGCCTGCATCTGGCACAACATCCAATTAGATCACGTAGATAGTTTTGATTTACCAGCAGCCAACGACATGGAACAAACTGTTAGTCCATGGGTCAGAGACCAACGAGAATGCACCAGCAAAATGATTCCTAACATTATTTTGTTTGCCTATAAAAGTACGTGGAGACCAACAAGAAACAAATCGCGGTCAAAAAGACTCGAGAGGACTCGAAAGTCAAACCGTAGGACTTGGGACTGACTTGAGATTTGTTGGCCTTTGGCTTGGACTCGACTCGGGACTTGCCTGTCTTGACTCGTGACTTGACTCGGGACTTGAGGGCAATGAATTGAGACTGACTTGTGACTTGCTAAACAATGACTTTGTCCCACCTCTGGCAGCGGGTTTATTGACCTCTGTGTTTCAGACATCCATAAACTTTGTGAGCACCGCAGGTTAGATTTCAAAAAAGAACATCTCTTGAATAAAATGTATTATGCTGATATGGTGTAGTTTTCTTCCCAATAGTTCAGCATCATTTAAAAAATAAAAACCAAAAAAAAAACTGTTCATGTGTTAGTTATCTGCCCCAACCTCATGTAATTCACCTGTGTCTCAGTTTGTTTGATTATTCCCAGTGCCCCTCTTATTATCAGCCCATTGTCCTTCCCCACATTTTCAATTCAATTCAAATAACTTTATTAATCCGTGAGGAACTTCATTTGCAGATAAAACACCAGTGGGGTTCCTAAACAACACAAGATATAGAGTATATAATACCTACTAAACACAAGATATATATTTTACCTAATAATATCCTGGATATGGTTGTATTACAGTAAATACATACATTTTATTTGCAGTCCTGCACTTTGGTCTGTTCTTTAGTTTTTCACCTCAAGCCAGGAGTCCATTGCCTTCATCCTCACTATACAACTTGGACAATAATACCAATCCCTAATAACCTAACAATCCAACGTAACAAAAAGATGGTAAGACTACGATTCTTGTAATCTTGACCAATGCTTGATGCATCATATTCACACTATATTATTCCCAAAAACTTGCCAAAATAATTGCAATCTGTTTGGAGGAGGCAGTGCTGAACGGGACCAGCGCTAACATGATTCAGTGGGCACAGCTGCAGGCCGCACTGCCACGTGGACTCTGCTGCTGGTGACTGGACTCCAAGATGGCTGCCAGTTCATCCTCGAGCTCTGGGAGTCACATGTGCGCCGGGAACTCCATTTTGGAATAATTATCCAACAGTGACAGGCGAGATAGAGTGATTTGTCTGATAATAGGACTTGTTTTTTTGTCATATTGTCAGCGATGAGATTGTCCAAAAAACACTATTAAACCGCTGATTTTATTAAATGTTTGACAAAAATTTGTTTTGATCAAAATGAAAATACACCATAATGAATCTCACTCCTGTAATTCTAACTCACCAAAAAATGTGTATGTGTGTCTGTGGCGTAAATAGGATGAACTAATAAAACATATATGAATACATATTTTGGAGTATAGAACTATGATTTTGTTTATTTCCCATGTAATGATCCAAATCGCCCAACACAAAATAATCTGCCGACTCACACACAACAATTGCCAAAAGCAGTTTTTGAATACAACTACAGTATTTACAGTTCTGTAAATGAGCGTGACGTCCACCCATGGGTCTATTTACTGAAGGGTCTCCGGTGAAAAGGTTTCTCTAATTAAAATTCATGAAGCAGTTCTGGGAGCAGGCTCAAAATAAGTGAACGCTCAGCAGGATGTCTAAAGGTTTGCTGAAGTTATAATATCAGAACTATTGGAGTTGCCAACTGCCCAGGGCTGTTTTTGATTCCAGATCGGACCCCAGGGGACGAGGTGTGTCCAGCTGCAGCAGGGACGAGCAACCAGACTCTGGGCCAGAGGAGGAGGAGACTGGCGAGGGCATCACTCTGGGGACAGAGATAGAGACAGAACCTTCTGGAGGCCTGAAGCTGCCAGATGTTGGTTAGTGAAAATTTCAACATCACTTGCATCAGCGGAAAGTTAGACAAAGATGAGCCACTGACTTGGCCATGGCAGGCTCAGTGTGTTACATTTTAAGGATCTCCTAATCATAATCTCAATCAATTGAGGTACATTCGATTCAGATTCTTTCAGTGCCATTTGCAGTAAAACCACATTGGAATACATTTGCAAAAGTCCCCTGAGTGCACAAGACAAGTATGTAAATAAAACAAGGTAAAAAGTACAGAAATAAAACAAACAAAACAGTAAACAATAGACACTGTGAAATTGATCGACTAAAACAGTTTCAATACAAAGGCAAGATCATTAAAGTGCTCTGTTTAAACTGATAACAGCTTGTGGAAAGAAGCCAGAGGGAAGAAGCTGGAACATCGCTTTTCCAGGGCGGCCAGAAGAGTCATTGATCATTGACATTATCCAGTCATTCAATTCTAAACTCTACGTTTGATAAATAGTGTTTGTTCAAGACTCTACAAAGTGAATTATTTCTAAAATGTGCTTCTTTAACAGAGTCACACAGCCTTTCTTTTAAATTTCCTAAAAATATACTTTATGTATTTGTTTGATTGATTTAGCTGTTGATTATATTCACGTATTCTGGGCAACCATCAATTCCCGTTGTTTTCCTGAGTAAGGAAATTATATGATCAGAGCACGATGAGCAACGGTTGCCCTTTCAGTAAACTTATACAATTTGACGATTTTTTTAAATCAATAGCTGATGTGTGTTGCATTAAAAACAAACCATCAAAACAATGGTTGATCGATCCGGGGTAAGATAAGAGAACTGTTATTGTCCCACAATGGCTACATTTTTCTGTCACAATACAGACAGTAGCAATGAGTACACAAAAGACACACAAAAAATAACTGTAAACTCTAAAATCTGATCCTCAATTGAGCATAACCTTCTATTATAATCAGGGGACAACAAATGTGTGAGTAATGTTGAAAAAATGACAATTTCAGGATATGGGCAGAAGAAGTGGATAAAGTGACTAGTAACATTTCAGTTTGTCATAACATTTCATGTTGCACATTCTAAAATGACTACAGTATTGCACATTCTAAAATGACTACAGTATTGCACATTCTAAAATTACTACAGTATTGCACATTCTAAAATGACTAAAGATGGCCGCCTTCTTGAAATGAGCGACTGTGGTGTGTGTTCTGGCCCAGGTGTTTGTGAGAGTCTATATGTTCAATGTCCCTGCCCTGCCAATTGAGTGATATGCATTATAGGAAATCTGGTATTCTCCTAAAAGTATGTTCAGGGAAAGTGCACTTTGTTTTTGAACAATGGCCAAAGCATGGGCATAGCCTCCTGTCATCCCTAAAACAAGAAATACATATTTGTTGGTATAAACTGTTCCACATGTATAGTGACCAAAATAATAATCTACTTGATCTGCAAAAGTGGTGAGTGTGGCACAGATCTTGCTTCCATCAGTCCAGCCCATGGCCACAGAAGTATCTTACCATCGCCAGGAAGGGTGTGAATGAATAATGAAGGCAAAGAGGCTTGTCAAGCTTGGAAAGACAAATGTAACTTTAAGAAGTTACATATTTTTCTGATTTAGGGTTTGTTAGAGAGCCATAATGGTGCCCCATTTCATTTCTAAATTTAAAGGCACAATAAGTCATATTTGCCAGCATCAGCATGTCCAAATCTTTCTTTCAAATCTTTTATTCATGGTAATCTCTGCTCATGTCTCATTTTAGCTCTAATAGTATTCTATAATCTTATGTAAGAGATTCAACATTTGTGCTTTGTGTACAGTTGTTCATAACAGCTGTTTTTACCAACTCTGTTGTTAAAACCGTACCTGTCCATTGGACAAAAGTTATTATAGACAATATTAAACATGAACTTCATTGGTAGAATAATAGTCTAGACTCTAGACAAATAAAATGAAAAAAAGAACATTCAAAGCATTCAAAATATTTGGGGCGACAGGGGCTCAGTTTGTAGAGCATTGGTTTTCGGGCCTAATTGTTGTAGGTTCGATTGCCACCCCCCAGACACAGAAATGGACCAAAGGGTTGAAAATGGATGAATAAATAATATGCCTGATGTTTTCCATTCAGGCTTCAGGATAAACCACAGCAAAGCCTGCACTCAAGAGTTGTGAATTTATTCTTCATTCTAGTCCTTGTGATTTTAAGATTGGCATTCAGTATGATCAATCAGATTAAAGAAGAGTTACTGTCTTCCTGTTGTGATTTTGCATTTTTTGTATGAAATGTGTTACACAAACAGGGACATCGATTCATATCTCTATTTTATTCTCAGTTTTCATCCACATGTCATTGTTGGACTAGCATCTCGTCATGGTGGGTGGTGTAGAGCCTCACGGCGCCCTCATTGGGCGGTCCATCACAAAGCTCCATCTCATGATTCTTGTTGGACGCCTCATTCCAGACGCCAGGACGTCTGTCAACACTGATCCTGTGACTGGTGTGAATATGGAGGATGTTTGTGAACCTCTTCACCAAAGCAACGGTTTATGTCTTGACTTAGCAGCAGTACACAGCTGTTATTTCATACTGTATTCAATTTCTGGAAGATACTGTTCGACATATCTTTCTATAACGCACCTTCACCTTGACACAAGTCTTATTGCAGTTTAAAAACGTAATATCTGGATTTGCAGAAAGCTCTTGACAACGCCACTGAAGATTATGAACCGAGTAAGGCCCTGTCTACACGTAGCAGGGCATTTATAAATCCGCCCTCCGCCTAAAAAAAAACTTCTGTCCACACAGCCTCGGTTTTTAAAAAAACGGCATCCACACCTAACCACATACATGCGTTGTCAATTACATTTCAAACCTACAGGCGGCAGTAGTTCCCCAAATTCTATCCAATTACAGCTAGTCTCCGTCCTTGACGTCACTTCCGCAAAACATGAAACATGGCGCCAGGCTCGTTCGTGTGGACTGACAAGGAGGCAGAATTGCTCCTAAACGTACTTTTAGAGTACAAGGTCAACAAGACACAAGAAAACATTGATTGGGAATCTTGCCAAAACAAGTACTGTATGTGGACTTATTGACTCTATATTTGGAGCATTATCCCACGGAGACCTCCAATGACTTTCCCCATGGAAACGGAGAGCTAACTCGGCCTCCATGTTGTTTCTGATGTAAACACAGGTCGCGCGTGTGACGTCAGAGCAGCACGCTGGTAGTGACGTACAGCCGAATACTCCGGTTATTTATGTCCACACTCAAACGCATAACCGGAGAATTCCCAAATCTTCACTTTGGCCGGAGTTTTCAGAAACCTTCGTTTTTATCGACAGAAAACTCCGGGTTTGTGTGGATGATAGGCCAGATCGTAGGAAAATATCTTTGGTTTGTGAGATACCCTGCTACGTGTAGACGGGGCCTAAAGGCCAATTCCCACTTCAAGTAGTCAAACGCAAAGCAAAGCATGTTTTTTTTTTGCCTCTGACTCATCAAGCAGTCAAAAAAATACTATTATCAGTCAATGCTTTATCTATCAAGGTTTTACTGTAATAGGTATGTCGATGCATAGATATATGCAGTGTATGTATTTACTGTATATATATTAGGCCTGTCAAAATGATCGCGTTAACGCACGTGAATTAATTGTTTTCATTAATTGCGTTAAAAAAAACGAAACGCAATTAACGCATGCCCATGCATCCCATAATAGCACTCAGAATGCCACGGACACGTGTGTGTGAGATGGTGACAGAGCAGGTCTCTGGGAATTCAAGTTTTAAAAGAATACACGCGTTTCCTGTATGAACTCTGCGAGCTGAGCTGCGGGCGCTCTGGACAGCGGTTCTTCCAGCGGTTCTTCCAGCGGTTCTTCCAGCGGTTCTTCCAGCGGTTCTTCCAGCGGCTGTGATCACGGCAAACGGCGCCGCGTAACGTGATCATATCCAAGACTACGCACAGAACTATTCTCTGATTGTAGTGCGTGGCTAGTAGTGCGTAACCGGTGAACACAATAAAAACAGCGCAGAAGCTGGACAACGGAGCCTCAATCTCTTCCGTGTCTTCTCCCGAAGCGCACTCGCTAAATTAAAGCTGGGGTACCTAATTTTCCCTTCAGCTCAGACAGATTTAATGACATTCTGCATTTCAGACTGTTTTAAATGTCCCTCATCCGTAACATACAATAGTTTTGGTCTTAGTCTAAACAGAAAGACAGAAAGTTAATAATGTTAATTCCATTTTATGTGGATTTATTGTTATGATAAACAAATACAGTACTGTACATTTGCACACTATGTTGACATTTATCTTTCCATTCAAACAACCATTTACAGAAAAATATGGCATAATTTTGTTGATAGTTTGAACTGCGATTAATTATGATTAATTAATTTTTAACCTGTAATCAACTCTATTAAAAAATATAATTGTTTAACAGCCCTAATAAAAAAATAAAAAATAAAAAAATAAAAATTCTCACCTTTTGCCCTCTGCGGGCGGTTATACCTCTCTAAGCTCGGGTCCTCTACCAGAGGCCTTGTTCTTGCCATTGAGCCGACTTCTTAGGACCTGCCTTACTCGCTGGAGGTATTTGGCAGTTGCCGCTTTCCTCATCACCTGTTCGAGGTTGCCATTTGCCTGTGGTATACCGAGATACTTGTAACTGTCCTCAACGTCTGCTATTGTTCCCTCTGGGAGTGAGATCCCTTCTGTGTGGACTACCTTGCCTCTCTGAGTCACCATCCTGCTACATTTCTCGAGTCCGAATGACATCCCGATGTCATGGCTGTAGATCCTGGTGGTTTGGATCAGAGAGTGAATGTCTCTCTCAGCAGCTGGTTCATTTGTGCTGCTAGGCGCTCATGGAGTGATGTGAGTGTCCTAGGCCAGTAGGCATGGACCATATCAGGGCCAGGTGCTGTCCAGTTTTTCATACCTGAGACTCTTTCTCGGATGTCTGCCTCTGTGATGGTAACTGAGTTCTGTTCTGGGAGGTGGCTGTGCCCCTCTCTCAGGGACACCAGCCATTGTGCACTGCTGTTATGTGCTGCATACTTCTCCCATATGTTCTTCCAGAACTGTTCAGTTTCTGAGCAGTCCTTTAAAGAGAATGAAGCCAGAAGGGATAACAGGCTGTTCGCAACACAACCTGTGAAGGTGTACGCTCAGTGGCAGGGTAACAACAGGGGAGCAGACCCACCGAGGCTGGAATGGCAAGCCGCAAATGGCAACCCTCTAAGCCAAGTAATTGACCAGACTGGCTATGGATACCGCCTCAGGAACTGAGCAAAGATCAGTCACCTCCTCTACATGGATGACATAAAGCTGTACGCCAAGAGCGAGAGAGACATCGACTCTCTGATCCAAACAACCAGGATCTACAGCCATGACATCGGGATGTCATTCGGTCTCGAGAAATGTAGCAGGATGGTGACTCGGAGAGGCAAGGTAGTCCACACAGAAGGGATCTCACTCCCAGAGGGAACAATAGCAGACGTTGAGGACAGTTACAAGTATCTCGGTATACCACAGGCAAATGGCAACCTCAAACAGGTGATGAGGAAAGCGGCAACTGCCAAATACCTCCAGCGAGTAAGGCAGGTCCTAAGAAGCCGGCTCAATGGCAAGAACAAGGCCCGGGCAATTAACAGCTACGCCCTGCCAGTGATCAGATACCCTTCAGGAATAATCAGGTGGCCAAAGGAAGAGATTCAGACCACGGATGTTAAAACTCGAAAGCTCCTTACCATGCATGGCGGGTTCCATCCCAAATCCAGCACCCTGAGACTGTACGTAAGCCGTAAAGAAGGCGGCAGTAGCTTAGTTGGTAGAGCGTTGGCCTTTGAGCCAGAAGGTCATGGGTTCAAGCCCCGCTCAAGACTTTCACCATCGACTCCCACTGACTACTGTCGTTGTGTCCTTGGCAAGACACTTAACCTCTGAGAACACCAGCCACAGTGGGGCGGCTGCGGCTGTAAAGTGCCAAACTGCCGTTGTGTCCTTAGGCAAGACACTTCACCCCCATTGCCTAGAATGAGTCTGGTGTGTGTGTGAATGGTTGGTGGTGGTCGGAGGGGCCGATGGCACAGACTGGTTGCCTCGCTTCTGTCAGTGTGCCCCAGGGCAGCTGTGGCTACAGTAGTAGTTTATCACCACCGTGTATGGAGTGAATGAATAATGACACATGTGAAGCGTCTTTGAGTGTCCAAAAAAGCGCTATATAAAACTGATGCATTATTATTATTATTAAGGAGGCCGAGGACTAGTGAGTGTGAGAGCCACTGTCCAGGACAAAACATCCAAACTCCATAACTACATCATGGAGAAGGCCAAAACGGATGACGTACTCAGTGAATGTCTCAGGCAGTGGCGAGATGAGGAGGTGCTGGAGGAGAGCCCATCATGGGAGAACAAGCCCCTACACGGCATGTACCACCGGAGCATTACAGAAGTGGCTGATCTCAAGAAGTCCTACCAATGGCTAGAAAGGGCTGGCCTACAGCACAGAGGCACTCATCATGGCTGCACAGGAACAGGAACTGAGCACCAGAGCAATAGAGGCCCAGATATAAAGTACATAAAAAAATGACTCTCATGCCTAACAGGTATAGCGCAGTCGCGGCCAGATGCTAGATGCGGCTGTCTCTGTTCAGACTCTTGCCCTTGCGACCTGGCAACAGATAAGGCACTATACATTTTGATTTTACTTTTTCTGTATTTCTAAGAAATTTTACTATTTTATTTCACTAATTTCCAACAGAAACTGCACTCCCGTACAAATATATTTTCATCTACGTTATCTCAGGCTATATCCACACAAAGACAAAACGCTTATAATTTAAAAAATATAACTTTTTCTGTAAACACGGAGTTAGCTCAGTAAATGTGTGCGTCCATATGAATGTAGTCAATACGCCTGAAAACGCTGTGAAACTATGCCAGACCTGTTGGTGGCGCTGTGACGCAATGACGGGATCAAGCCCAAACTTCCGTGGGCATGCGCGGAATTTTGTAAACAGACAACATGGCGAGTGGGCGAGCTGGTACTACATTAGTATGGACGGACGATGAGGTTGAACTGTTGCTTCGGGTCACACTGGACTACAAAACCAACAAGCTACATTGTTGTTGTCATTATTTTCTGAGTGCGGCGCATGCGTGCTTTAGCAAGAGGCGGGGCGATGACGCAAGCGTCTCAGATACATTGCGGAGAGGCAGTAACCACGGAGCGGCATATACGGAGTTTTGAAATCTTTCCACTCTGGGACCTAGTTTCAAAAATGTTCGTTTACACCCCCCCAAAACGCCGGCCTCGTATGGACGATACACTGGATTGATAAAGTATTTTTGCGTTTAGGCCTGAGCTTGACTTCGTGTGGACAGGGCCTCAGTATTCATTCTATAAACTGCCAAGTTGTTCAGGGTCAAATGACAAAGTTAGATGAATTAAATTCAATAGTCTACTTTCTTCACAAAAAAACTTTTTAACACAGAACAAACCTGTGTTCTGCAAAGTAATGTATTCAGTTGTATCTGTGTCCAAGAGTTCCTCCTCCACATTTGTATCCTGTGTATCCTCGCCTCTCAGCAAGGCCCTGGGTTCGAATCTCGGTCGGAACAGGGCCTTTCTGAGTGGAGTTTACATGTTCTCCCCGTGTCTGTGTAAGTTTCCTCCGGGTGCTCCGGTTTCCCCTACCACTAAAAACATGCAAAATAGGTATGAATGTAAATGAGTGAGTGAATGGATGGTGTTGGTTGGGGTCTGATGTGCCAGTGTGTTCGGCGACTCACTTCCGTCATCACCGTGTGTGGAATGATTGGAACAATATCTGAACTCTGTACATTGTAAAGCGCTTTGGGTGACCTTGGTCTGTAAAATGCGCTATATAACTAAACATTACTTACTTACTTACTTACAGCAGATTCCTGGAACAACCTCAGAAATCTCGGCTAAGAAATGTGCAGTGCTAGGAACAGCAAAGATACTGCACAGAACCTTCATGCTGTAGCATTGTTGCACTCAAATTATTCCAAACTAAAATATAATGTGCATTTTAAAAGAAGATCCCTTTTAGAGGTCATTTTTGACAGGATATGTAATGGTCCAACACCAGGTGTACACTGTGGCACTGCCAGGGGATGCTGAGACTCACTCTCTGTTTCTATTTCTATGCAGAGCTCAATGAACATAGTACATCTACAACAACTACAAACACCTAATTTTACACCTAATGCTGGTATTTTGTAAGTTCTGACCAAGTGCTCGGCTGTTTAGTTGCTTGCTCCATATTTTAGGTTTAGTTTCTTTCAGCAAGATTCAGTATCTTACCTGAGTCACTCACAGTTAAATAAAAAGGCCCAGTGCTGTCAGGAAAACCTTGACATTTTGTACTAGTGAACAATGGAAAAGACAAAAAAATGCATTTCTGGGCACATATAATGACTACTCAAAATCCTTGCACTTCAAACAAAATATCCAATTACGCTCTACTTTTCAATCCTTTTCTCATCGGACTAAGTGGCTATCATTAGCGTGACGATCATTAGTGTGACGTCTGTGTAAAAGTTGTCAGATTGGTTTCCGCGGCTCCAGTGGCCTCCAGCGCAGTGTCCTTAGCGCTGACTCAAACTCCTCTTCTTCCTTCCCCGTCTCCGCTGCTTTCTTCTTTCCTACAGCCTTCGGAAGAAGCTTTGGCAACAGCCAGGTTTAAGACAGCTGTTCCTGTTGCAGACAAATGGAGTGGAAAGCAACCTGGGATTCAAATCATAATTTCTTTAGAGCAGATGCATCTCCAACATGTTCATTTGCCCACGTGCTGATTGCAACTACTCAGTTAAAATACATTAATTAACATGCGGGCTTATTGTAGGGATAGAGAGGACTTGGATATAACAGAATATAAAATGAAATGGTAAATTACTGGAATTGTAAAGGTAAACGTAAAGGTGCACTTTATTAATCCCCGAAGGGCAATTCAATCCTCTGCATTTGACCCATCCTGATGCCACGAAGGCTTACATCAGGAGCAGTGGTCACCGTAGTAACAGCGCCCGCTTGGTCGGGACTACCGGAGCTGGAGGATTTAACCTAGTGAGCATGTTTTTAGTGGTAGTGGAAACTTTCTTGTTTGTAAAAATGGAAACCACAACATGCAAATCATTCTAAAGATATCTAATCTAAAAATGGCATGTTGCGCAGTAACACAACATCTCATTTCTGTTTATGTGAAAGCCTCAAAAAGACAGCTCTGTTTTTTATTTCAAACAACTTTCTTTGTTATCATCCAGTTTGGCTGCTTGACAGTCTGTGTACTTCATGCAGACTTGTCTTTGCACTGAGAGGAAACTTCATTCTTTTGACTAACTCCAGCCACTGCACCAAATGTGAACTGTAGTTACAAGTAAACACAACAGAGGCGCATCTTCAAATAACCCAGCATCAACTGTGATCGTCCCAGTGGTCGACAGATATGAACCACCACCTCCCCTGATGGTGTGAACCGCTGAGAGTCTGTAGACTGGATATCTTTTGTTTTCCCTGTAAAATATGTACTAGTTTTCCCCTATAGAACAGAATGCATCTGCAGAATCAGATGTGTTATGCATGTGAAATACTAAGTGGATAAAACATTGTAGTCAGTTCATGAAAAAGTATTACGTTGTTTAATCATTACTGCATATTATTACGACCACATATAGTATAGTATTCACTTTAACGCCACTATTCTGACAGTCTTTTCTCACCTTTTGGAACAGAAAGGTCTCTCTGTGTCTTTTGCTTCACAGCCTGGACACCACTGCCTTCTTTGTGTAGAAAGTAAAAACAATTTTACTCCTTAGTCACATGGGAAACAAACAAATAACAACAACATAATCTATACATTATATTAGAACCAAATCAAACGTCTCTAATCTCAGATTAACTGTACATAATATTTCATTCTGATGTTTTCCCTACACATCTATCACACCTATCTGTACAGTGCCTTGTAAAAGTATTCATACCCTATCATCTTTTCACAGTTTGTCATATTACAACCATGTTACAGACCTTTTTTTTCTGAAAGAGCGGCAAAGTAGCAGACAAGTGTGAAGTGAAGAATGGCACACAGAAACATACAGCCCATGTGAAATACGCAGTGGAACCACCTTTTGCAACAATTACAGCTTCAAGGCCCCTGATGTATGTCTCTATAAGCTTTTCACAACTAGAGACTGACATGTTTTACCCAAAAGCTAAATACAGTATTGGTGTCCTTTGACCAGAACACCTTCCTCCACTTTGCTCCTTGGGGCTTTATTTCAACACAGGCGTTCAATTTACCAGATGAGCTGAGGATGTCTGCAGATCCTCCAGAGTTGCTGTATCTCTGCTGTACTCCTTCAGCCTGTTAGTTTGGGCAGATGTGTCTTGGTAGATTTGCAATTGTGTCATACATTTTCCATTCCCGGATGAGGGATCAAACAAAACGTTGTGAGATGTTCATAACATGGAAAACCATTGTATTTGTCTGCTAATCTGTGTTGGTCTTTCATAAAACAATCCGACAGAATCTAATGGCATCATTACAGAGTAAGTTCATGGGCTGTGAATTATTTTTGGCCAGAAACCTGCAAATCCGCTGCTGCATGGTCTCAAAAAGTATTGATCGATGTTAAATTATATTTTGCACACGTAAATATCACTGCAGGAAAATGAATATGTTTCGGTAAAGGGCAAGGCGTACCCCGCTCAAACGTGCCTTCTAAATAAACCAGTGCATGATTATGTAAATCTAAAAATGCTAATTTGTTCTGTGGTGTAAGCAAAGGCATACATACAGACACCTTTGGGGATTTGCCATGCAGCCTTGGCCACGTCTACTCGTCTCTGCTCCACTGTCTCATTGGAAATTGACTGGAGCATTTAATCAAGGCCTTGCACCTCAACACGATAATGATATTTTAATCCCCAGCGAAGCCTGGGGCAGGACCCTTTTGGACATACATCCATCCGTTTTCAGTCCTGAACATTCCCTGTGCCTCTTCCACATTACCTACATCAAGGATTTTCTTATACTACCCTATTGCAGTCCATAATAATGACTGTGGATGTACATTATTTATGAAGTGATGTGAAGAGGTATGTTTCTGTGAGCTCAGTCTAAGCCAGTGACATTTGATCACATTTTAATCTTAGACATTTGTGAAACTTTTATTATATTTTAAAACAAATTAACTTATACGTTTAATAAGTTAATATTGGAATTAGAAATAACTTTGTGCTTTGTCAAAATCATTTAAACTACAGTTTTCTAGGTGGCTTGGAATCAGAATATTTTCAATGTCTATTCTAATACTCTGTACTTAATCTATGCTTTAATTTCACTCCATGCGATGATGAGCTGGTTTTGATATCAGGCATATTTTGGTATCACCTAGAAGAGAGTGGTATTGGATCGATCCCAAAAGTGACTTACATCCGTTAGTGCAAGCTTATGCTCAACCTCACAGCCTTCTGATTGGACGATCAATTAAAATCCTTGCCACTGGTCGAACCATTCCCCTCCAGCAAATTATTCTGCTCGTGGTTTTGCCAAGAGGTTGAACTTACAGTACATTACTTTTGAAAATACTTATTCTGCATGATACTGTGGGGTCATACGGTCGAGTTTGTTTGAAAAAGATTTACAATTGAAGTTTCTGACATCACCTTTAACAATGTATTATTCACCTTTTTATGTAAAGTTTCTCTTTTATCTTTCTCTCTTGTAGTGACCCAGCGGCTGTGTGAGTGGTCAGCATCATAGTGGTCTCTAGGATGCTATGAGATCAATTTTTTAGAAGAACTTCTCTGCTGTGGGACCAGGAAACCTACAAAACAATTTATGCTGGATCACTGTAGACACAACACTCATACAAAAGGCCCCCTGCTGCAAAGTTACATAAAGCACCTAACTCTTGAAACGTGTGATGAAACCTGCACATTGTAGACACTTTTTTGCAGTAAAATATAAAGAGCCGTTGTTTCAGACTATAGCATTGAGTGCAACGATCACTTCCTATGCCCTGGAGAAGTGTAACGCGGCTGACAAAATTAATGAACCCACGATAATGACCATACACTTGATTGTTCCGCTTTCTACCTGCTCTATAGTATTTTCACATCACATTTGCCTGTGTTTTGTTCTCCTTTGTGACACCCTCGCCAGTCCTCAAAGGCTGTCATCTTCTTGCCTGGAGCCATGTAAACAGTGTGTCATCTGCGCTGACATTAGTGTGCTGCCTGCTTCGCTTCTACCTCCCAACTTCCAGCCGCCACAGGTGGATCCTTGGTTGTCAGAGATCATTTGTGTGTTTTGAAAGGAGTAGTTGGAGATGGACGGGATAAAACAACAACCAGTGGCTCTGAGCCGCACTAGTGATATAGTATTCTTTTTGTCCTGCCAGTGCTTACACATCACATATTCTTTTGGAGTGGTCTCTGAGGGAGTGCTGACCCACACAATGCAGATTACACTGCTGCCAATCTGCCCTGTTACAGTCAACCCATTATGGAATATTTAATGACAGCGCCAGTGATCTTCTGTACCAGTGATATCCAAACTAAGGCCTGTGGGCAAAATGCGGTCTGTGGCCCTCTGTGTTGCTAACAAAGTAGTGTCATCCAGCAGACTTCAGCTCCACCACTAAATGCATGCTGTACCTTGTTGAAAAGATCATCCCCTCCAGAATCCAGTTGTCTACTTTATTTGCGTAGACAATTGTTTTTGATTGTGTCCGAAAATTCTGTATTCTCTGTTCATATTGTTCTTGCGAGCCCAGTTTCCAAAGTGTCTAGTGTCCTGACTTGGGTTACTTGGAATCGTGATGTCACCAATAATGAAATTAGAAGTTGCAGGGAAAGTTTATTTGTGTAGCACAGTTCATACACATGGCAAGTCTGTTGCTACACATCATTCAATAAAGAAAACCTGTCAGATAAGCCTGCTATTCTTCTTAAAGGTGCAGTAAAGTATTCAGATTAGCTTTGTGGTATAGGACTCAGTTAAAAACAACTCCCACCCAGCACAGGTCAATGCAGTTTCTGTAATAACGCTGTCTGTGCTTCAGATGTGAAAGCATTACACTACATTAGGGCTCATGTCTGTGAGCGATGTGCCTGCCATACTTCCCCCAACAAACTAGCAACTCGACTGCCGTTGCATTACATAGCCCTGGCTGCGAATCGAGTCTTTTTTTACAACGCCTTTTCCTCATCTGATTTTCTGTTCTTTGCCACAACAGGGCGAGTTGGTGGCAAATGTGAAATTGGTATTTTGGTGGTTTTCGGTTTAGCCATTGTAGGTGTTTTAGAAAATCCAATAACAATTCAGATTCTGACGTTTGCAGGTCTTGGGGGGTGGGGGGGAATGGTTTATTTCTATCGGCCCACTCTAAATTATTTCTGGTCCTTCATTCCTATTTGAAAACACATGATAACTTTACTACTTTTGGGGTTTAGGGACGTTTCCCCAGAGTACTTTAAAAATTGCGTCTGGATCAATCATTTACTGTCATGGTGTGGATTGTATTTTTGTACTTTGGTTGTATTTTGACATCAGTTTTCTGTGGTTTGGTTTTAGTTGTAATTCCTGTCTTGTTCCCCAGTGGTTGTCTGCCCCGCCCTGATGTGTTTCACCCGTGTCTGTGTCTGTACCCAGTGCTGCCCTCCTCTTGTTGCTGGTTCATT